GTTTCTTCATGAGTTCCGTTGTCATGAAGGTAGCATTAGAACCGTTATCCAGAAAGGCGTAAGTATCCACCGACCGTTGGCCACCGGGAACTCTTACACGGACAGGTACCATGGCGAGGCAGGTTATCTGTTTGACATTTGATTGTGTGCTCATACTCACGAACCCGTTGTGTACTTGGTGTTGATATTTAGATTTAGACTGGATGACTGGCAGCTCTAGCCTTAGTTGACACATAATCTGTGACGTCATCAATGGTTGCATTGGCAGAGGCCTTCCCTTTCCACTATGCTGTCGACAACATCGCGCCATCGAAGCCTTAACCAATACGGTAGTCGTTGTATGATCCTTTGAAGGTTGTCTTGGCTGTCCAGCTTCCCTATACAGCTCGTAGTGTGTTCGTGCAGCTGGTCAGATTAGTTGCGAACCGTTGTAAGGCAGCGCTGTCTTCGGACTTGATGGGTGGTCCTTCGGCTATCTTCTGCACAAGAGCGGTAGCTATGCGGTAGTCCTGGCCGTATCGTTCTTTGAGTAACTGTCTAGCTCGTGCATATCCTTCTCCTCCTTTCATCGAWAGACAGCTGCGCATGAGCTCTTGAACTTGGCCAGAAGTGTATTGTACCAGATACAGTAGACGTGAGCTTGGATCCGGGGTCCTACTCTCGATCAGGAGCTCAAAGGTTTTTATGAAATTCGTATACTCAGCAGGGTCGCCGCTGAACATCGTCAAGCTCGGCTRGGGTAGAGTTAAAGACGTCACGCTCTCTTGTTGTCTTTGAACTATTCCTTGTATGGCATTGTTCTGACGTTCTTGGCTCTCCATTAACCTCGTAAAGAGTTCCTCCTGAAGCGACGTAGAGTTATTTGGACCGTAMTAAGACGGATAGTTGTTGAACTGGAAAGGCATGCGATTTTCGTAGCCCATTGGGTTTGGTGTCGACGTAAATCCACCATATTGATAATGCGGKGGAGCGACAGAAACTGTTGAAGGAGCAGCGTAATTCATTGGACTCTTGGAGGCGTAACGTATATCGGCATACCGATAGCTGGATCGACCGGTAGATGCGTCACGACATCGGCGTACAATTCCGATTGTTGCAGGTTGTTGTTAGGTGGTGTGACTGCAGACGGATACACAGAGGAAGGTTTGTGCTGCATGGCAGCAGTCGAAAGGGTTGGTGCGCACTGCATGGCAGCGGCCGACGATATTGTATTGTACTGCGTGGAAGCAGTCGAAGACGTCGACTTTATGGTAGCGGTCGAGAAACTTGGTTTGTTTTGCGTGGCAACAGTCGTAGGGATTGGCTTATGCTGCTTGACAGCAGTTGAAGAGATTGGCTTGGACTGCGTGACAGCAGTCGATGAGATTGGCTTATACTGCGTGACAGCAGTTGAAGAGATTGGCTTGGACTGCGTGACAGCAGTTGATGAGATTGGCTTAGACTGCGTGACAGCAGTCGATGAGATTGGCTTATACTGCTTGACAGCAGTTGAAGAGATTGGCTTGGACTGCGTGACAACAGTCGATGAGATTGGCTTAGACTGCGTGAGAGCAGTCGATGAGATTGGCTTGGACTGCATGACAGCAGTCGGTAAGATCTGCTTGGACTGCGTGACAGCAGTCGATGGGATTGGCTTGAACTGCGTGACAGCAGTTGAAGAAAGTGGCATGGACTGCGTGACAGCAATCGAAGAAATTGGCATGGACTGCGTGATAGCAGTCGAATGGGTTTGATTGGACTGTGTGACGTGAGATGGCGTCACGCGCCTTCCAAGTGGCGTTGGACAAAAGGGTTGTTCTGTCGAATTCAAACCCTCGGTTTCTGCGTCTTCATAAGCTTTGCGCTCAGCCTCTGCTGCCTCAATGTCCGAGGCGAGTTCCAACTCTTCCTTTCTTTGGCGTAGTTTCAGTTGCTCGAGTTCAATCTCTTGCATTCCACGCATCGCCTTTGCTTTCACTTCTAAAGACCGTTTCTTTGCCGCAGCTTGTGCTTTAAAGCTTGACACGCTGCGGGAAGAGCAAGTGGACGACGTCCTTGAAGAACTAGCGACTGATGGTGTCTTCTCTAAATTTTTCAGAGAGGTAAGCGCTTGTCTTTCGGCTCTTTCAACCTTTTCTAAAGTCATACGATATTGTGTTCGTGACATTTCGATATCGTGATCGTCCTTCAATTGTTCGTGATATTCTCCATGCGTTATCTGATAAGCCTTAAGGCGATCTCTCATCTCGTGAATTGCCTTTCTTATCTCCTCGACGTCATCGGCATCTTGTATTTCGACTAGTTTGTTTATTTTCTTTGTCAAATTTGACAGAGAGGAAATCCGTGACCTCTTAAGTTCTTCCATTTAATCGAATCACGCGAACTTGTTATTCACGTTGTTCAAGTGACTAGACATCATTGTATCGAAT